AAAAAAAAAAAAAAAGTTTCAGAGAACAACATATATATCTTTGGATCGCAGAGGTAGCATGGATAAGGAAAAATGCCATACCTTAAAGGGACAGACTACACAGGAGACCAAAGACTGTGTTCAAGAATGTGTGAGTTGCCCGGCTTTATCACACCGGAAGCGAGTGAAAGATGCCATGTCGAGAATCACAAGACTTCAGTGGGAGGCTATTCCCTTTGCACGTCTACCTGAGGCTTTGACAGTTGTGCGCAACTGCTGAAACATCTTCCGAAATTCGGAGAGGCCATGAAGAGAGACAGGAGGGGTGGAGCATCACAGCCACAGGGGGACTAAGTGAAGAGCTTCCCCAGCAGGAACTTACGAGCCAGTTACCAGCTGGTTTGATAACTGCAGATGGTCAACAGCAAAATGTTAAGGTTTACACCACATCATCTTGGCACATTTCTGATGTTCAAGAGATTCAGCTTTCATGATCTGAACTGATGGAACAGGGGGTGCTAAAGAGGGACAGAGGCTGTTAAGAGTCCAGAACAGAGACATGTCAGGGAAATGGCTGGTAAAGTGACCTGCTTGTATACTTAAATAGCTGTAAGGAGCTTCCTGAAGTTTCACCAGTTGAGGTGTTAATTCTGACTTAAGAATCTTTTCCATGAGTAATTTTATAGAAAAATTTGTATTTTAAAGGTATTAAAATATTTTTTGTAGGAGAAAAAAAAAGTGAGATTTTAAAAAGTTTTCTGTGGTTGACTGACATCACTCTGCTATCAGAAGATAGTCAAGGCTTTATCACTTAAAGACAAAATCACTTACAATGAACTCAGGATGTGGCTATCTGGGATCATTAATTATTAGAGAATTAGATTGCATTTAAATGAGTCATTTCTAGGGGCGCCTGGGTGGCTCAGTTGTTAAACATCTGCCTTTGGCTCCGGTCATGATCCCGGGGTCCTGGGATAGAGCCCCGCATCGGGCTCCTTGCTCAGCAGGGAGCCTGCTTCTCCCTCTGACCCTCCCCCCGCTCATGTGCTCTCTCTCGCTGTCTCTGTCTCTGTCAAATAAAGAAATAAAATCTTAAAAAAATAAATAAATAAATAAAATCTTTAAAAAAAAAAGAAAGTCCTAGGACTTGAACTATTTTGAGAAATAATCGAGGGACTTGAGCCAGGCGGATGAGAACAAATTAAGAAGCCTAACTAGGGAAATCAAAATCCGAGCACCTTGGTTAATGCGTTGAGTCCTAGAGCTGTTGCCACGGCACCAGTTGTCGCGGAAACGTAAGCTGTTCCCAGTTCACTGAAAAGGAAGAATAGTGCATGAAAAACAGGTGCACACCAGGACACTTGGGTTTGACAGTTTTTGAGGAAACGAGGCAACAATGTGAAAGAGCATGATTAAGAAGGGAGAGCCCACAAAACAACACTCGCTCTCACTCTACAAACGGCCAAATGCAGACCGGAAGCAAGCAGCCCCGGGCAGAGTGGCCTTCCTCACAGACAAGCCGACCAGCAGCTTCAGCGGCGGCTGTAGGGAGTAGGTACTGGGGGGGTGAGGGTGGGGGGTGGACCGAGGGGCCGTGAGTGTGCAGGGAACAGCCTCTTGGCCTAAGTGTGGGCAGCATGTCTACCTAAATAAAAAGTACTTCTCAAAATATAAACACACATATTGGAAGTAAAACTGCCATACTGCTGTTCTTAAAATTGTAACTTATTGTATCGTAATACGAAAAGTCCCATCTGCAACAGGCTTAGTTAAGCACAGCTGTTTTATTTTAAATTAAGTTTTAGGGGCATCGGGCTGGCTCAGTCCATTAAGCATCTACCTCTGGATTTTGGCTCAGGTCATGATCTCAGGGTCGTGAAATCGAGCCCCGTGTTGGGCTCTGTGCTGGGTGTGGAGTCTGCTTGAGGTTCTCCATCCCTCTACCTCTGTCTACCTCATACCTCTGCCTTGCATGCTGTCTCTCTAAAGAAATATAATAATAATAAATACAAATAAATAAAATAAGTTTTAATTCTAAGGGTTGGAAGAAATGAAGGTGCGATAAACACTGTGGCGGCAAGATTTCTACAGCCTTTGTTCCATATGGTGACAAAAGAACACTATGGACTGTCAGAGGCCATTTAAAGTGATAAAAAAGAAAACACTCTGAAGTGTTCTCCAAGCTGAGCTAAAAGTTTTGGTTCACTAATCACTTTAGCCAGTCCAAATGGTTTTTTACAGGAGGCAACATTTTAAACCTGTTCACCTTCTGTCTGGCTCTAGAGATGGCTTCTTTAAAGACAAATCCTAAATAAAAGTCCCCTTGGTTTCTGCAGAGATCACGCTCTTGATGCCACTACTTTTGATGTTGCTACCTGGCCACGGGCTCAGGGTAGATGGGGGCACGGCCTGTCGTCTGCCACGGCCCGGCCCTCAACTGCCCACCTTGTGTTCTGCATGGGGAGCCTGAGGGCGTGGGAGACAAATCCGCCTACCAGGGTCCCTAACAGCAAGAGTCATGTCTGTGAAGGCAGGCTGGACAAGACGGTCATCTTGATGGGAAGGGAGGAGAAGAAACGCTACTGGAAAATATGCCCCATGATATTCTGACCAATATCAACAGTTTATACACCACCGAATGAAATGCACACTGGGCAAGTGCAGGGAACGATTAACTCTTACAGTCTTACTTTACAGTGAGGGGGGCGTCTCCACTTCTGTTGGTGTAATTGACCACGGCGTTGAAGGACTGGTTAATCCACTGCCAGAACAGCACGGCCGGTGTCGTCCTAAAACAGAGCGATCCGTCACACACTGGCCATCGCCTGTGACCTAGCCGCTGTGCGGAACAGAAAATGTGAACACCAGTAACCACAGAGGAGATGGACTGCGGAAGGAGAGCGCTAGGTCAAAGACCCTGCGTTCTGCGTCGAAAGCTTGGGACCTGAGTGGCGGGGCCGAAGTGCATCCTCTGATTCTCAGCAGCCTCCTTCTTTGGATATGGGTAAGCCCAAGCTCAAAGGGCTATGGTGAGAATCAAGTCATCCTCCTTAAATTTGATCTTAAATCTGTAGAGAGCCTGGCATACAGTAGGCGCTCAACAAATGTCAGGCCCCTTCTCTTGGGGAAAAAAGCCAGCTGTCTGCAGGCGAAGTAGCCCTGATCCCTCCTTATGGCACGTGCAAGCCTGCGTGTCTGCGTCTACGGCTACATCTACACTTACATCTGTGACTTATGAGTGGATGAAAAAGAGAATTTGCTTAGAGACTTTTAAATTTTCTTTCTCCATCTCATTTTCTTTTGGGTGTTACGAGTTAGAGGAAAAATTCAGTCTCCTTTTGAACGACGGAGAGAATACGATTTATTTAGCACCGGGCAAAGTTAAAGCAACCCCCTAGAGTTGTGACATTTATATAAAATGGAACTCAATGTGAAATGACATTTATTTCAATAAAACTATTTATACACAAAAATGTACTTTAAGCTCTGTAATATAAAATGAACTCTTGTTATATTTCCATGACTTACCTATAAAATGTCATCATACAACCTGTGATGGTCATGTTCATTGGAACCTGAGCTGACATTCTTCCTATCAAAATCATCTTTTCACCCGTGTCGGGATGAAAAGCTGAATCATAGATGTACTTTGCTCTCCATAATTCATTTTCTGTAAGACCTGGAGGAATAATTCCTTGCCTAGGGAAATAAGAAATAACAAGGGAACTGTTCATTTCCAATAGCTCACCAGTGCTCTAGAGACATGTAGCTAGAAAGTTTTTAAGTTTACCCTTACCTAAAACAACTGTGCCTGCAGTGAAATTTTAGTAACACAAGAGACAGTAAACACAATGAACATTTCAAACCCATGTATCTCAACTGGTCTGTAATTTTGAAAAACAAAAACTTATCTTGTATCTTGAAGTATTCAACTTTGAAATGTTCCTTGTTTTAAATGACATATTTAAAAATGTATTTTGAGCTTCGCAAACTCTATAATATTTTCAACCAATTAGACAAAAGCTGTGGCAATCAAAAACATTAATTATTATACCTACAGTTTGAAACCCTAGATTAGAAAGGCTCATTATTTTATCTTGTTATCAAAGAAACACATTTATTGCTAAAAATTTAGAAAATACAGACATTCATTAGTGCAATTAAAATCATTCAAGCCTTTCATTACTCATTTCCACTGATGCTGTTTTGTGAAGACACAGCCACGGTCTTGCAGGACCTGTATATGCCACTTAGGATCTCTATAAACACCATACCTGTTGCTTTATGACCACCTCTTTAAAATGAGTAATACTCTGTAAACGCTTTTCTGTATCTTTAGAACTTCTTCTGTACCACCTGTACTGGGTTGAATAGTGTCCCCCCAAATTCACATCCACCTAGAACCTCAGAATGTGACCTTATTTGGAATCAGGGTCTTTGTGGATATAATAGTTAAAACGAGGTCATGCTGATGAGGGTGAGCCCTAAATCCAATGACCAGTGCCCTGATAAGCCAGCCACGTGCAGACTAAGAAGGTCCTGTGATGTCAGAGGCAGAGACTGGAATAATGTAGCTCCAAGTCAAGGAACATCAAGGAACGCCTCAGGCCACCAGAAGCTGGAAGAGGGGAGGAAAGATTCTCCCCTAGAGCCTTCAGAGGGAGATGGCCCTCCCAACACCGTGGTTTCAGACTTTAGCCTCCAGAACTGCAATAGAACAAATTTCGTTGTTTGAAGCCACTCAGTTGGTGGTAACTGGTTACAGCCACCTTAGGAAACTAACACATCATCCTTTCAAATGCTCCAGTCTTCCACCGCATGACTGTAAGATAGATTATCCCAATCCCTATTGTTGGGCACTTTAATTGCTTCTAATCTCTTCCGTTTGTAAAGGATGAGGAAGTCAATCTCTTTATAAATAAATCTTTCCCCTGCATCCAAGATTAATCAGAAACAAAGGAGTACATTTGCTGAGACAAAAGTTATGTAAAATACTGAGGCTGTCAATACGCCTTTTGTCCTTTTTCTCTACTTGAGTGTGTCTGTTGATTGTCAGGGTGGCAGCACCCTCCCTGTTTAAGCGGATCGCGTGTAAACTTGACCCGCTGTGGGCAGATCTTGTTAGTTGTGTTAGCTGCTCCCCTGAACGTTACTATCTTGATGTAGTCGGGTAGGAACAAACGAAGTTGCTGACTAGAAAGGCCTGACCCGCTTCAGGGTTATACAAATATTCACCTCTATGTCTTGCACTTTAGTAACAGGTTTTTTGTTATTTTTTTTTTAATTGTCACTGAGGTTTTTAATTTATTTGGCATTTATCTTAAGATATGAAAATGTGAAACTTGCTTAACTTGACTTTTCCATTGGCTGCTCTGCCACCCTAATACCAAGATTTAAATGCTATAGTCATCATGGGTTGAGATTCTTTGAATGCTGGGCGTGGCTTTGGGGTTTTCTTTTTTTTTTCCCTTTTAAAATTTTTTT